TGAATGCTTGCCTTGAGTACAAACTAGGTGTGAACTTCATTTGCATACAGTATATTCATTAACAGAATTTCAGTATCTTTAAAATGCTTTGCAATATCATACTAGATCCTCTTAAATTATTCTTCTCAATGTACAAAGAAAAAAATGCTTATGGATGTACTTATTTTACTTTTGCTTCCCCTCCCGACTGGAATAATTTGCAGAATTTTGTCAGAATTTTGTTTAATTAGTCAGAATTAAATCTGCATAATTAAAACGGTCATGTCAGGCTGTCTTTGTAAATAAGGAAACAAATCTTAATTGACTTAACTGGTTTTAAAAAATAGTGAAACAAACAAACATTTAATATTTCTGAATACCTTGGTGTAGAGTGCTTTAAAACATATGAAAGTACATCTGATTTGAATTAAAGACTTGGTTCAGTAGCTTGAAACAAAATTCAATTCTACCCCTTTCTGCATGCCTCTGCAAGGCTTGTGTCATAATGTATTATGTAGGTCGGGAATCATGTTATGTTCCCGTCATCAATTTGAGTGCTAGCTGCAGCTGTTTACCTCTGTAGCTAGGTAACGACTAAAGAGGACACTGGTTTCACTGTGGTATTTTAAGGTGCACTCAGTAGTTCATGTTGAGCTGGCTGATATGCCACTCATATTTGAGACCGGTTTAACAAACAAAACCATGAGTGTTCCCTAACCAGAAGCCATAGCAGAAAGGTACAGTCTATGCTCAAAGAACAGGATGCTTCACAGAACTTGACAGTAATGTCAGGAGAGAACTAAAAAAATAGCATAAGCATAAATTTAAGGCAACTTTGAAAATAATAACATGGAAGGGGATAAAATCCATTACTGACTATGAGGACTGGATTGTCATCTACAACATTTTATTGAAACTTTTCTCCCAGATTTCTTTCTTTCTCTTTTTCTTTTTCTTTTTCTTTTTCTTTCTTTCTTTTTCTTTCTTTCTTTTTCCCTTCCTTCCTTCCTTTGCCTAAATAGGAATACATGAATCCCACAGCAGATCTAGACAGCTGGAGCTGGGGGAGGTGGAGGGTTTCAGATGAAATTAGGAAGAGTGTGCTCCAGGACCAGATATTAAAATGTTATGTTAAAATGTTGCACTAGCAAGCTCATTGGCTGCAGAATCAGCAAAGGCCAGTCAGCTTGTGCCATGTAGTAAATTATGTGATTGCTAGCAGATTGCATGTAAAGGACTTATCAGCCTGCATCATCTAGTGCGGTGGTTCTTAACTAGTTGCTGGTCAATGTTATCTGATGTCCATTAAATAATATTAACAGATACAGCTTTTTATTTTAATAATGTATGCATGTTAACTAATGTAGTTAACAAATGGAACATTTTTGTAAATCTTTACCATTTATTCTAATCAATAATAAATGTTTTAAGTGATCATCCCCATTAAGTGCGAACAGGACGCAAAGATATAAATTGTTTGCCATCAGCAGCATGTTCTTCCTCAAGATGGATGCAGTTTTGTTTAATAACAGACTGCACAAGGAAGACAGGAATGAGTGAAAAACATGCAGACACATAAGATATTCCTCAAGTTTTTTTCTTTTGGGGGGCAGATTTCTCTCTCTCGCTCTGGCCAATGACATCTCCTGCTAAAATTATGAGCGAGCATGGAGACACGAGAGAAAGAAGAATCAAATTAAAGTCTTGCATTATGTTACTCAGGGATGGAGCCTGCTAGTATCCATCACACAACACAACAGATGCCTGCTCCTGATCGATCTAATAGATCAGTGGTTCTCAACCCTGTTCCCAGAATTTTTGATCACTGATGAGCTAATAGTTAAATCAATAGCAATCGTGGACAATCAGTGGAAGTATCAAGGGATGCTATCACTTTTTAGAGCTGTGCAATAAGTGTAAACATAAGGGTGTCACATATTCCAAAAGGAAACACTTGCATTGCATTGATTCTGTTTGCAATTGTATTAAAGCTTTGATTTAGTACATTACACAATTTTTTAGCAACGTGTTTAAACAAAATGCCCTACACACTGTAAATCTGAGATCACACATTACATTACATCATTTCCAACGTGATGTCTAGGGATGTTCCGATCAGGTTTTTTGTGCCCCCCAATCCGAGTCATTGAATACTGAGTATCTGCCGATACCGAGTACCGATCTGATACTTATATATTCCTTATACTTATATCTGGTGCACAATTCGAATACATTAAAGTTATTAAAATCAATCCAGTGTATACAGAGTTGCGCAGAGTGTAAAAGTAATATATGTATGATATAATATAATAGAGCCTAATATAATATATAATTATAAGATACACTCTCTCTCTATGCACACACTATATAAAGACTTTCGTAGATGTAAATATGACACAATGGTAGGCATTGTAAACAGACTCTGTGTGGCCACAATTATGAAAATGGGACTGCTGATATACAGCAAACTTCTTGTATTTTATATGTACAATAAGTAGAATAATTGCAATATGGTTAGAAAGCATGAACCTTGCGGTGTCAGAACGCCTGTTTTTCAGTCAAATCCAAAGCAAGACGCAACCCATAGCAGCATGTAATAACGACATCTCAGATAGTCTGATGACAGATAAAAGTATATGACAAATGAATGAGAGATTGTTACAAAAATGCGCATCAAATACATTGGACACAGAAGCTCAAATGTGTGTGACGCGCTAGAACCGACCTCACTGGTTCTCGCACATCACGCATGCACATTTCTTCTTTTATTTTAGTTTATTAGAGTGTCTTTTTCTTTTAATGGTGGTTGGCAAAGCCACTTAAAGGTGCATAACGCCACCTACTGCACAAAACCGGCATAACAGCTCAAGGATCGGGCTTAGGAGAACCGATACGATCAGTTAAAGGGGTCATTGGATGCAAAATTCACTTTTATATGTTGTTTGAACTGAAGTGTGTCTTGGCAGTGTGTGTACACAACCACCCTATAATGATAAAAATCCACACAGTGTTTTTTTTGTTTTTTTTCAAATCCCAATAAATCATGAGCAGTGTCTCAGATCAAGCTTTTCTCAGATTCTTGGCAGAGTGACATAGTTCTGCACAGGCCCCTCCCACAATTGTTGACTGACACAGGCATTTTATCACAGACCCACCCTGAGTGAGCTGCCAACAGTCCGCCATTGTTTTGATGCCGGAGTAGGTGTAGACAAGAATGTCTCCTAAGCGATTGAGGTGTTTTGTTGTTTGATGTAATAACGAACATAGCAGTCATCATTTACTCCCGACATCTAAGCTGCTGAAGACGCAGAGGGTTACTTTTGTTTTTGAAGGGAATGTGCCCCCGATCTACCTGCGCAAATCATTCGTGATCCAGCTTCACCTACAGAAGAAGTGTTTTTTTATTAATCTTTGCAAATCGCCTTTCCTAATAACGGGCTAGTTATCAAGTTTCATGATGAATGTGGCTAAAGCTAACAGTCTCTCAGAGAACTGCTCGTCACCCCACAGAAGAGAGGGGCGGGGTGATCAGAGCTCATTAGCATTTAAAAAGAATGCACTGAAACAGGTCGTCGTGAACAGAGCTGTTTTTGAATGTGTTTTACACTACCATTGAGAACCAAAGTATGTTATAGACTTTTCATTAAGACCCTGAAGAATCATATCAACTTGTGGAAAATGGGCATCAGATGACCCCTTTAAAAAAATGTGGTTACACTTATTTTGATAGTCCACTTTAGACATTCTACTAACTATAATTAACTTTGCAACTACATGTCAACTAATTCTCATTCATTTGTAACTACATGTCTTCTAACTCTCAGAGTAGACTGTTAGGTAAGGTTTAGGGTTAGTAGAAGAAGTTGACATATTTTCAAAGTTTCTTATAGTCAGTATGTTGTATGTTGTGGACACATCAAAATAAAGTGTTAGAAGATATTAAGCAGACAGTCTACTAATACTCTAATGACTGCTAGTTGACATATAGTTGCAAAGTTACTTACTGTTAGTAGAATGTCTAAAGTGGACTATCAAAATAGTGTTACAAAAAATGCTTGATCGGCCCCGATACCGAACCTTGAGATACGCTCGGGACATCCCTAGTGATGTCATTAATATTTGTGTGTAAAATGTGGCTCTAGCACACACACACACACACACACACAAATACATATATATATATATATATATATATATATATATATACACACACATATTTGAACACAATGATATTTGTTGGACAAACTGTTCAACTTTTCAGAGACATTTTTATGAAGGTTTTGCTTTGATTAAAAAAAGTGAATATTAACAGCAAGCACTTTAACACAGTCAACATAGTAATTGGTTATGAAAGTTATGCCAAACACTGACAGTGTGTTTTACTCACATTTGCAACCCAGGCTCTGCAAAATTATATTTTGTTGCTCCTTGCACATTTCACAGCACATTCAAAGTGAAATATCCAGTGAGTGCTCAGTTTTATTGACAACAGATAAATGTCAATCTGGCAATGTTTTATTACCTTGGTTGTAAGTTTGTAAATTAAATCTTGTTTGAAATTAATATAGCACCTAAGCTAAACCCAACCCTAAATCTAACAGATAATGTTAACAAAAGCAAATTTTAGAAAAAATGCATTTGCTGAAGCAACCATGACATTTTAGTAAGTCTCTCAGCTTTTTTATCATGACTTGTTTCACTTGTTCTTGAGCTCTTCATATCGCAAGTACAATTCTGTACCAGGTGAATTACCAAACAAGTTTACATATGGTGCTGCGGAGGCTCCAGGAAGTGTTTGAAAAACACTGATGTAAACTAGTAGTGGTAGTAGTTAGTAGTATTAATAGTAGTAGTAGCAGCAGCAAAACTCTCACAAAATGTTGTTTAAAAATAAAATTATTTAAAATTAAACCATTAAAAAACAAAAACAATTAAACCTATTAAGGCATATCATTAAGAACAATACAAAAAGTGATGAAAACATCATCATTCACAGACAAATAAACAAAAGTCTAACTCACCTCAGTCATGTGGATCAAGTAAAATCGCAGATCTTCACTGTGATCTGAGAAAACAAACAGGTCATAATATTTAAGAAAGGCAACACAGTTAGCTTTATAACATACTAGACATGCTAGAAAATTAAGGGCAGTCGAGTTATTCAGGTTTGGAGCTAAACTTTACAGGACAGTGGACCTCCAGGGCTAGATTTGAAGATCCCCTGCCTTATTTACTCCAAAGTGAAATGCACTTGAAGTGATCACTCTGAAGGGATTTTCCCATAGCAGTGATGGGGGTAACGCATTACTGTATTGTGTATACCACATGATTGTAAAGCACTTTGGGTGTACAACAACACAAAATAAAGCGCTATATAAATGCATCATTCATTCATTCATTACAAGTAACGCGAGTTACGTAATCAGATTACTTTTTTCAAGTAACTAGTAAAGTAACGCATTACTTTTAAATTAGCAAGAAAATATCTGAGTTACTTTTTCAAATAAGTAACGCGTTACTTTGTTTTCCTGTTTATTCACTGATACCTTTCCTGACCCCATGTTGAGAGAAATTGGGAGTAAGTGCAGAGGCAGAGGTATTTTCTTCAGCCTGAGGCTTATTAATTTCACTCTTGGTGTGAAAGGGCCTTTACAGTCACCGAAAATATAACTTTTGGGTTTTCTATTATTAAAAACAAATAAGCAAGCCCAGGTGACAAAAAGTAACGCAAAAGTAATGTAATGCATTAGTTTCTGTAAAAAGTAACTAAGTAACGCAATTAATTACTTTTTTATGGAGTAACGCAATATTTTAATGCATTACTTTTAAAAGTAACTTTCCCCAACACTGTCCCATACTGTATGTGGCACCAACACAATGGGCCCTATTTTAACGATCTAAGCGCATGGTCTAAAGCGCATGGCGCAATTGCGCTTAGGGCGTGTCCGAATCCACTTTTGCTAGTTTAAGGACTGGAAAAATGGTCAGCGCGCCCGGCGCATTGTTTAAAAGGGTTGTCCCTATTCTTTTAATGAGTAATGGGTGTGTTTTGGGCGTAACGTGCCATAAACCAATCAGAGTCTCATCTCCCATTCCCTTTAAAAGTCAGTTGCACTCGCGCCATGGCGGATTCGCTATTTAAATGGCGGAATTTACAAGTGGAAAAACTGAACGCTTCTCTAGTGAGGGAACAGATCCGCTTGTTTGCATGTATCTAATTCTGATACATGCAAAGACTATCCATTATGGCATGTAGGCATTTTTATATTTATGTACAAATGGGCGCAAATGATTTTGCTATTTAAACAACGTGGCACAGGACGTGAAAATGACAACTGCGTCGGGCTGAAACTAGCAAAAAACATTGTGCCGGGTGTATGATAGGGCCCAATGTTACCCTAATAACATTCATGTTTAAAATTGTTAAAAGAGTGTTGTAGCAGGTCCTCTTTGTTTCTTTAATTCACATCTATGTGAATCTGTATACTGTCTCTTCATGTGATAAAATGAATAATAATAATAATAATAATCACTGCGCCAATTTGTACCTGTAACGGACATTCTAGTTTCCTATCTGTCGGTCACAACGAGTTATGTTTGTCATTCCCTGATGGAGGGAACGGAGACGTTATGTCCCCTTGTCACAACCCTAAACCACTCGCTGAATGCCGGGACACATTCTTGGCTCTTAGCATAAACCTGAATGAGTGGATGCACGCTGTCGCCTTGTGTGCAGGGAAGTGGCTCGACATGCAAAATCCACTTGCCAAATTTGATTGGTGTTTTTTAAACTCAGAGGTGATTTGGGCTCCCAAGTTTGACCTTTGCATAACAGTGTGAGTTTGCGCCTTTCCTTTGCCTATTTCCAGTGTTCCTTGGTTCCTGTTTGTCATCTGTTTCCATAGTTATTCATTAGCTGATTAATTAGTGCCATAGGTGTAAAGAGTACCTGAAAACCATACCTGAGTAAAAGTGCAGATACCTTACAGTGAAAATTACTCCACTACACGCTACAAGTCACCAATCGCAAAACAACTTGAGTGAACGTCTTGGAGTATCTGATTTAAACAGTACTTAAGTATTTTACTTATACTAAACATAGGCTAAAAGATACACTAGTCAAAGAGACATGCCAGTGAAAATCTGTAACGTTGTAGAGAAGCTGGGGAAACCAGGCAGAAAAAAAACAATATCCTTCAAAGAGGTCTCTTCAGTATAACAGATAGATAAAATAAAGTTAAGTAAAATTAAAAAGTCAAAGTCTTCTTGCACTGGATGTGCTGGTTTCAGCCTCATTGCCAGCTGCAGTCATGTCCTCATCTCATATATAAAACACCTGTGATTCACAGCTACTTGCTGAGGAGCTCGCATTCATGTCAAGTTGCCTTGTTGACAAGTTTCGGTTTGAAACAGCAAAATGCACAAGATAATGTACATTCAGTGCCCTGTAGTTGGCAATATCACGTCTTTTGTAGCAGAAATAAACTGCTGCAGAAAAGCTAGGTGCCATTCAAAATGTAATGTGTAACTGCAACACTCATTTCAAATGTAGTGGAGTAAAGAGTACAGATACTCATTCAAAAATGTAGTGAAGTAGAGAGTAAAAGTTGCTAATATTTTTGATATTCAATAAAACTACAGAGTATCCAAAAAGATACTCAAGTACAGTAATTAGTTACAGTTACTCAAATACTTTACAACTCTGATTAGCTCACCTGATTGTCCTTTGTAACATCATCACTTTGTATTTAAGTTCCTCTTGGTTTTCTGTTCATGATCAGTTGTTGATTGTGTTGAGTGTACATGGTTACATGTATGAAATGTGCTCATTAAAATTACCTTAGTTTTGGAACTTTTGACTCTTCATCTTTGAAACTTGCTATAATATGGGACAGTACCTCAGTACAATTTAGATTTCTTCTAATCAAACTTAATTAGCGCACCTGATTGTCCTTTGTATCATCACTGTGTATTTAAGTTCCTCTTGGTTTTCTGTTCATGATCAATTGTTGATTGTGTTGAGTGTACATGGTTACATGTATGAAATGTGCTCATTAAAATTACCTTAGTTTTGGAACTTTTGTCTCTTCATCTTTGAAACTTGCTATAATATGGGACAGTACCTCAGTACAATTTAGATTTCTTCTAATCAAACTTATCTTCTGAAGAACCACTGCTTGAATTGACTGTCATATATAAAGTAATCAGCATAAATGAGTACACACTGATGTAGAAAATTTATCTCAGAATATCATGTCTCTCTTTATAATTAATACTTTTTGGGATCCTGTAATTTAAAGGGATAGTTCACCCAAAAATGAAAATTCTGTCATTAATTACTCACCCTCATATCGTTTCAAACCCGTAAGACCTTTGTTCATCTTCGGAACACAAATTAAGATATTTTGATGGAATCTGAGAGCTGTCTGACCCTGCATAGACAGCAATACAACTGAAATGTTCCCAAGTCCAGAGACGTAGCAAGGAGATCTGTAAAATAATCCATGTGACATCAGGGGTTCAACAGTAATTTTACGAAGCTATAAAACTACAGAGTATCCAAAAAGATACTCAAGTACAGTAATTAGTTACAGTTACTCAAATACTTTACAACTCTGATTAGCTCACCTGATTGTCCTTTGTAACATCATCACTTTGTATTTAAGTTCCTCTTGGTTTTCTGTTCATGATCAATTGTTGATTGTGTTGAGTGTACATGGTTACATGTATGAAATGTGCTCATTAAAATTACCTTAGTTTTGGAACTTTTGTCTCTTCATCTTTGAAACTTGCTATAATATGGGACAGTACCTCAGTACAATTTAGATTTCTTCTAATCAAACTTATCTTCTGAAGAACCACTGCTTGAATTGACTGTCATATATAAAGTAATCAGCGTAAATGAGTACACACTGATGTAGAAAATTTATCTCAGAATATCATGTCTCTCTTTATAAATAATACTTTTTGTGATCCTGTAATTTAAAGGGATAGTTCACCCAAAAATGAAAATTCTGTCATTAATTACTCACCCTCATGTCGTTTCAAACCCGTAAGACCTTCGTTCATCTTCGGAACACAAATTAAGATATTTTGATGGAATCTGAGAGCTGTCTGACCCTGCATAGACAGCTCTCTCTATACAACTGAAATGTTCCCAAGTCCAGAAACATAGCAAGGAGATCTGTAAAATAATCCATGGCTGCGTTTACACTTGGCATTAACATTGAACGAAGAGTCTTACGGGTTTGAAACGACATGAGGGTGAGTAATTAATGACAGAATTTTCATTTTTGGGTGAACTAACCCTTTAAGCTATTAAATCCCCATCCTATTCAATGCGGACAATAATGACTTCACATGTAATTTATAACACCATATATAAATTATAAAATTAAAAATAGGAAAACATTACAGGGTAGGGCTGCAATATTAACATTATTGTTGAATGGCATGTTAAATCCTGGCTACACAAAAAAAAAAAAAAGCTAATAATTGTTTATTGTTTTTCATGCATTAGAAAATCAAGTCTTCACATTGGTTATTTTAGTAGCATTAAAAACAAAATGGTCATTTAAACAGAATAAATTACAGAAAATGAGAGGGCAGATTTCAGTCAGTCAGTTCAGAACAAAACTCTGGTGGTGACCAATCTAAATGCCTCTGTTTGGCCACTGTATTCAAAGGCTCAGCAAAAACATGTGTGATTTGACATAAAGCTCAATGCTGAAAAACACATCTAGAAGAAAGAAATCTAATGCAATGTGAGCAGATCTAAATATAATGCCACAATCAACACTTTTCATTCGTTTGCATTTAGTTTAATTATTGTTTTGCCCCCTTTGTCTTGAATTTGGGGAGTTGGGAGCATTTTTGCCTCAAGCCCCATTAATTTCCCACCCTGAAGAACTCACTTAAGCCTAGTACTGTACCCTTTACTTGCAGTGCCCTTCAAGGTGCAAAAAGGAATTCATTCCCAACAGTTCTGAGAAAGCAAATTCATATATATGCTGAGTTTGATGTCCAAGCCATATTCTCCCCCCTCACACATCACTAAAGCTACCT